AAATTAAAAAAAAAATAAACCGGAAAAAATGTAATCTGATAAATAAAAGTTAAATCATTAGAAATTAATTTTTTTACATACAATTTCATATATTTTGTAGAATAAATTAAATTGAAATATAAAATTATGAGCATTTTGATTTTTTTAGTGATTTTTCATTCTATTCTTTTTATCCCAATAATAAAATAGAAAAATAAAATAAAATATTTTCTGTATTGCATATTAAATATAGAAATAAGAATTCATATTTCTATTCTAATTATACTATTATTTCATCTATCAAATATAATCTTACATTATTAGAAATACTCATAATCATGTAAAGTCTTTAAACTATAAATTAAGCTGTCATGTATCATCATTGGATATGGATTAGTAGACATGTTAGGTTTTAGCAGCAGAGAAAGTTCACTAGTTAGATTTGGAATTCTAGCTATTTGTCTCTTTAAATTGATACATTAGAGAAAGTTCCATCGTTTGTTTCAGACAATCGAAACTAAATCTCGTTGTCGCTTCTAATACTGTGAGTAATAATAACTACAAGAACTCAAAATCAGCGTGAAATAGTTTGAGATCAAACCTGAGAGATCTTAAAGGTATGCTTTATGATTTTATGTTGATTAAAATTGAAATTATAATTATTTATATATTATACAACTTGATGGGATATGCTTCCGCGATTTGATTTTTCCATCAGCTCTAAACTCCTTTCTATTTGCATCCTCAAATTAATGATACGAGTGACCAAATATGCAATTAGGAATTACTTATATTTGGATGCTATTTTGCAGTCTTTTTAGGATTTTGACAGTTTTTCAATTAGTAATAAACTCATGTTGCAAAGTGAGATTTTCAGCCCTGAGATCCTCAAATAGTTTGTGGTCCTTATTAATTTATATTTTGATTTCCCTGTCATCAGCCATTTACCACTTATACAAGTTGCCTATAATGACTTTCTTTCTTTCTTTCTTTTTTTTTTTAATCAACAAATTCACTTTATTTATATATTACGAGCAAATTTGTTTTCTTTCTTATACAAGTGCTTGAAATTTTGCTTTCTAGCATCCTCAACAGTATATTTTGGATTCGTTAAATTTAAATTTAAATTGGATTAAAAGTATATATATATATATATATATAATAAAAGTATATATATATATATATAGATAAATTTTTTTAAAGAGTTCTTACCAGGATACCGTTTACTATCAGGTGTAGCAAGAAAATATTAGTTATATTATGAAATATAATATATTTTACCATGTGATGTTGTTTTCCAGTGACTGAAAGGGTCTTATTCATAAGATGTAGCTGCCAAAAGTAAACTGTTCATACCCTGACCTGTGTCAGTATTGTCCGTTAGGCTTGTGCAACCCTCACGGATTTGGCCCTCAGGCAGCTTTGCAACCCGCCCAAAAGCGCGAAACCAAGTTAGAGCTACCCCTTCTTATGTATGAGGATCGTTTATCCGTCCTTAACCGATGGTGAGATTTGCCTAAGTGTGCTGGCCTGGCCACATTACACCCCCCTGGGGACTCAGCGTCCTCGGCTTGAGGAGGTTGCCCCAGGGGTGACTCAGGCGTTCCTCGCTGAGGTTTGACCCACCCGGCCAGAGGGACAGGCCGGCTCTGTGATACCATTGTTTCATGAGCCCTCGACCTGGTCAGTATTGTCCGCTTTAGGCTTGGCAACCCTCAACGGATTTGTCCCGTCAGGCAGGTTTTGGCAACCCGCCCAAAAGTGGAAAAGTGGTTCTATCCAGAGTTACGCAGCGGGTAGCTCTAGCGTAGTATTGTCGTTTGGAGACGGTACTAGCTACATCCTCCTCACGGATTTGTCCTGGGCGTTACAGTTTCGCCGCCCCAACGAGAGCGCGCTAACCAGAGTTTAGAAGCTACCCCCCCCCGTATAGATTCGGTTTACCCCGGTCCTTAACCGATGTGGGATGTGCAGGTGTGCTGGCCTTGCCACATACACCCCCCCTTGCGGATCAGCGTCCTTGGCTGAGGTTTGGCCCCACCACCGGCCAGAGGCCACAGGGCCGGCTCTGATACCAATCTTGTCATAAACCCTGGGACCTGGTCAAGTATTGTCCGCTTTAGGCTTTGGCAACCCTCCGGGAGTTGTCCCTCAGGCAGGCTTCTGCAACCCGCCAAAAGCGCGCTATTACATAAGAGACATAAGAGGGGTAGCTTCTAACTTGGTTATGTATAGCGCGCTTTTGGGCGGGTTGCAAAGCCTGCCTGAGGGACAAATCCGTGAGGGTTGCAAAGCCTAAAGCAGACAATACTGATCAGGTCAGGGTTATGACAGTAACAACTTGAAATTATAAATAATTTAATTATCTGATTAATATGCTGGCATGTAATTGGAACTTATATGTATGCTCCTTTAATTTAAATAATTTATTTATTTATTTTTAATTAAAATTAAAATTATAAGTTTTTTTAATTCTTAAATAGTAAACTGAAATATTAATTAGCATAATTAATCATTGTAAGTAAATTATTTTAATTCAACTGATATAGTTAATTAATTATTTTTTCTCTTTAAAATTCTCATGTGTTCAAATAAGATGAGATATAAGAATATTTAATTTTAATGAAATAAAGAAAGTAATATTTTATTCTTATTTGTTTAATAAATTATTATAATTTAATATGACTCTATTATAACTCCATTAGTTTTATAACAACTATTTTATAAAAAACTCAAAATTTATTAGATATAAAAAATATTAATTATAATGAAACCATCCATTAAATTTACTAATTTGTAACTCAATTATTTAATAAAAAATTAATTTTTTTTATTAAATGTAAAAAAATATTAATTATAATAAATAAAAGAAAATATCACGTTATTAATTTAATATTTTAATATATTATCACGTAAGCGTTAGAATTATATAAATTAAATAGATTTGTCACTAATTATAATAAATATTTCTTATTTATGAGGTTTTATTTCAAATTGTTATCAGTCAGTCACACATTATTGGCAAATACTTATCCATAGCTATTAGGCATTTTCCAATGGTATATGACTTGTTTAATTATGCATGTCATGTTGGTATCTAAATATTTAACACAATTATTAAATGGATCGTATTTGTGTTGTCTATTAGGCAAATTCATATGAATTCGTTTTGATACCCCTAATTGTTATTCCCCATGTTCTCTTTATTTAGAGAGAAAATAGAAAAAACTCTTGGATTAAAAAATTTAGTTAAATGAAGTTTTCTCCCTAAAATGTCATTCATATCTTCATTGATTATGAGAACAATAGTCGACACAAAACACAGTCACAAGAAGTGCATTTATTGTTTACTTGCATATTTTGGGTATCACTTCAAGCATTCTCTATTAATTTTATTGCATTTTATTAGAATGTAGACGTTTTATATAATATGTGCCCAAAAATTAAAAAAAATTTTGGAATCCAATTAAAGGCCAAATTTTTAAACTTATTCATTGAAAACCATAAATTTTCAAAATTTTCGGCGAAAATAAAAGAGGAAAGACTTAAATTTTAGTGTTAACTTGTTTAAACATAAATAGTTTTTGATTCAAATTCAAAATTAAAAGTAAATTTTAGTCTTTCCAGATTTAAATGAAATTCAGAAAGTAGTGCCAAAATGCAACTAAAATGAAATAGAATTTGGACAACTTCACATTTTGAAAATTACACAACTAATAATAATAAGGTCATAGAGTGGGTTACAAAAGAGTACAACCATTATAAGTATTTTAAAAAGTACAGAACTAATAATAATAAGGCCATAAAATGTCTTACAGAAGTGCACAACTAACAATAATAAGGCTACAAAGAGGCTTACAGAAGTTTATAATCGTTACCTAACACAGAAAACAATAACTACTGAAAAAGTGCACAATTAATAATAATAAGACCACAAAATGGCTTACAATAGTTTACAACTACTATTAACAAAAGACTGCGGCTTACAAAAGCTTACAATCACAACAAAAATTTGAAAAAAAAAAAACTGTATTTTTAAATGTGCACCATAAATAATACAGCGATTTCTAACCAAATTCTAATTTTTCCTTTTTTCAATAATCAAAACACACCCATATTTTAAAAAATAAAACGTGGCTGTTTTTAAAATTTAACTGAGCATAACATATATTTATTCATGACCTTAACCGTTGTGACCAAATTTACAATGATAAAAGTAGACATACATTCTTTAAACATATAAATAAATGCTAACTCTGTATTTATGTGGCTATTATTTTGACTTTTAATATCATAATTTTAATTTTATGACCAAATTTATAAAAACGACCATTGTTACTATAAAACAAAATAAAAAAGTGAGTTGAAAACTTGTCTCTTGAAACATGCATATATTAAATGCTGAGAATATTCGTGTCTACCACTTTCTTTGATGGTTGAGCTTCAATCTTAAAACAAAATATGCACTCTAAAATTACTCTAGTCTTTTTAACTTAGCTTGCATCCCAAATTTATTAGTTAGAGTAAAATTTTCTATATAAAAAAATACACTCAAAAAGAAAATTTTTTATAAATAAACAAAACAGAGGGAGTACAAATCTCTCATATTAACTAAATATAATTATCAAAAAATAAATGTAATTATGAATTAAAAAAAAAAAAGCTAAACATAACTAATATTATAAAAATTTAATTATAATTAATATATTCTTTAGTTTATGAAAATTTACCACTCAAATCCATCTCTTGTAAACAATCAACGGTAAATCCAATGGTCATGCCACATGCTGCGTAGCGTTGTATCATAAGTTCATAACCACAACTTACCAAAAAAAAAAAAAAAAAAAAAAAAAAAAAAAAAAAACCAAAAAAAAAAAAAAAAAAAAAAAAAAAAAAAAAAAAAAAAATTTTCAATTAAATTGCAAGTAACAGAAACTGGAAGTTCCCTCTTCAAACCTCGACCGACCTGCTAAAAAAAAAAAAAAAAAAAAAAAAAAAAAAAAAAAAAAAAAAATTTCAAATTAAAATTGCAAGTAACAGAAACTGGAATTTCCCTCTTCAACCTCACCGACCTGCTAAAAGACAACCTAACTTCTTCAACCGACAACTGTAGCCGACGAATTCACCAACCGAAACCAGTCCACCACCACCACTCTCACAAATCGCAGCAAAAACCTCCGATTTCTTTAGTTTATCTTCAGATGAAAAGACACCAAACTCCATACTCTCTGGATCGAAGAAGATGGCTAACGCCATTAGTCGTACTCGCTTTACTATTTCTTATACTTATTCTCTCTATAACTTTCTCGGAATCCCCTTCTCCGGCCGATAATTCTTATCACATATCGAAATCTAGCATACCGAGCCAAAATTTTGGTGACCAATTAGGGCTTCCGACATTGCCGAGATTCGCGTACTTGATTTCCGGCACCAAAGGAGAGGGTGCTCGCGTGAAGCGACTGCTTCAGGCGGTTTATCATCCAAGAAATTACTATCTTCTCCATCTCGATCTAGAAGCATCGGATGCGGAGAGGCTTGAGCTTGCTAAGTACGTGAAATCGGAAGGTGTGATTCGGGTGTTTCGGAATGTGATGGTGATTGGTAAGGCAGATTTGGTAACTTATAAAGGACCAACTATGATTGCGAGTACGCTTCATGCTATTGCGATTTTGTTGAAGCAGGCCTCTGATTGGGACTGGTTTGTTAATTTAAGCGCTTCGGATTATCCTCTAATGCCTCAAGATGGTAAAGTAATATTGGCATTTGTCTTGTCTTGTTTCTTTGGTTTTTTAGCCAGTGCTTGAATTGCTTGTTAACTAGTCTCTGATTATAAAATATGCTAATACTGAAAGCTATATGAAATGTGATTTTTGTGTTGCTTTGTACTACTTTACAGTGTACTTTTATTTTTTTAAGTATGGGAAATGGGGTTCATATTCTAAAGGTTACTTGTTGCTCTAAATGCCAAGTCTTTTATAGTTGGATTTTGGCATAATGTACATATCTTGGCGTTCTTAGGAGTTAGGAACCTGTTTGATAGGCCACCGTATGCTGTAGCAAAATTGAATGTGGTTAGAGCAGGGTGAAATGAGTTAAAAGATCAAAATTGAAGGGAAAAATGCTTTCATCCAGCAATTTGGCAATAATTATTAGGCATGGCATACTCAGTTATTGCAAAGTAAAATAGTTGCAGTTAGAGATTTCCTCCTTGTTATGGTCGGAGTACTTAGTTCGAGTTCCTAGTGTTAATGAACAAAAATGATGTGAAAGATTTTGGTGAGGTCGTAAATTTAAGATTAAGAGGATATTGGAAAAACAAATTTTTATGTCCAGTTACTTGGATAAGTATTGAAAAAGTGCGTGCTACACTGTTAGTATTCAATGTGTTCACTAGAATGTGTGAAGAATGTACTTTAGGAATATGTGCGTGTTCTTTTGCGTGTGTGTGTGCGTGATTTACTTAATTTAAAGAGTAGATATATTTATGGAGAAGTATACAAACGTCTATCTAGCTAGCTATATATGGAGGGCGGAAGGGATGTAATTTGTGTTTAACATATTAAGTGTTATCCATTTTACTCCCTCTTCTTGAAATGACTTGAAGTTAGATAAATTAAGGATTTCCCTGTTAAGAGTTCTTGTTAAAAAATTTAAAGTTTTGATATTATGTTTTAGCCTGTAGGAGCACATAAGGACAAAATTTTAAGAAATTACGTTGTGAGAGTAACAACTGAAACACATTACATTTATAGAAGACAGCTCATCTGACCCTACTAAATGCAGCAACAATATGTCTTCATTTTCATCTAGTGGTAAGGTGAGACTATCTAGGAGTAGGTGCCGGGTCTCATATCTTACTCATAACAAACCTCCTCCTCAATCTTCCAAAGAAAGAAGTAAATATGAAACTCTAGCAAATATCAAAAATACTCTAGTACATGCATTTGTCGATGTGTTTTCCTGGCCTATTTGTAGATATGCAGAAATAACTCAAATCTAATTTTTCTTCCATGCATCTAGATTAGTATATTTAGTTTCTAAATTCCCCCTAAAACTTCAATTTGTGATTTCCTCATATTTTTATCGCTGATGCTCAAAACTCAAACTTCAATCATGAGGGAAATGTCTAGTTGTTATTTTCTCCTTTTCAAGGGTTTATTGTGCCTCACTTCATCGATCATTGGTACGAGATTTCTCGATGAAAAGCTTCTCTTTCTTCAATGTTGCTCTTTAACTCCTTCAACTCTTAACTTGTCATCATATAGTATACATAACTAATTTCAAATTCATGAATTTCTCTCAAATGTTCAAGGCTGTATTTTTTACTTCATATTCCTCTTTATTGTTCACATCTTTGATGAAAAATGTCAAGTGCCTTATTACTTTCAAAGCACTTTTTTAATAACTTTTACCTATAAACACTGACTACATAATATATTTCTTCAAAATTGATGCTTACCACAAAACTAGGAAAAAAATCAGGACTAGATTTTTCATACAGCAAATGCTTGGCAGAAAATTAAATTTGTATGTGATTCCTTGAGAACCATCTCCAATAAAATTGTCATTTAAATAGGTTCTGTCATTTTGACATTCTCATGAAATGATTCACAAAATCTTTGTTTGGATGCTTGTTGTACCACAATGTCTTCCCTGTGGAGTTTTTATTCACAGCTTCCCTTCTCAAGAGACTTGGCATTTTTTTTCTCCTTTGGAAGATTTCTTTTGACCTCTTAGTGAAAGTCCTGGCATAGAACTCACTCTTTCAATTGAAATTCATGAAACATAAGAAATTCTCACACTTTATAATGTAAACATTTTTTTAAATGGGATACAACTTCAAGAGAGAGTTCCTGTAAAATGGGTAATTGTATATTTTTCTTTCCTTGTTCCTGCGGGGATCAAGTTGAGTTTTGCTACCAGCCTACCACTCTACTGGAAAATTTATAGATATAAACACAGGTAATTAAAGATGAGGAAGTAACATAAAAGACATGCTTCATACATCAGAAAAAAATTCTATCTGTTCTATTCTCCCATATATAAGAACTGCAATGATATTTATATATTTCTCCATACAAGCATCTACAATCTAACCCTTCGTTTGAATGGGATCGTTTTCTTTATGGAAAGAAAATAGCTGTGGAGAATACCTAAGGAAAAGGGTTTTCCCTTGTTTGGGAAAGGGAAAGAAAATAATGAAGTAAAATTTAACTTATTTTTCCCTCCAATTTGAGAGAAAATAACCAAGAAAAGTGTGAAATTTACTATTTTTATGAAATTATCCAAAATACCCCCCAAATCTCTAATAATTGTCAATTTCCACATTTCTGATGAGGGTGTAAATTGTCAATTTTCAATAATAAGATTCCCTTTAGTCTAAAATTTTGCCCAATTTGCAATAAAGAAAAATAGTATTTATTTTCTTTTCTTCATTATGTCCAAACTCAAGGGTGTAAAATAACAACGGAAATAAAGTTGACAATTCGTCAATATTTTCCTTCCTCCATTATGTTTCCTTCCTTTAATTTCCAAACAAAGCCCAACATTACATTAATTACACCCTCTAAAGCACCGTAATACATATACTTATACTAGATACATTCCTCATGCACTCATTAATACACTCAACAAAACAGTTTAATACTTATTCACGTGCCTAGACTTGCAGTTTAAGTTCACTTTTCAATCATGGGAGAGTACTAATATTTTAAATAGTAAGAGAGAAGAATCTCCAAGGGAACATTATTTTGGTTAAAGCTTGGGATTCAATCTTGGAGGTCTTGAGTTTTGACCATTAGGATTGGAGGGTGAAAGCCCCCACCATTAGACCAAAAGAGAAGATTTAAGAGCGTGAAAGAGATATTGTTTGAAATTAGTTAATTGTATTTGCTTTTGCCAAGGACCATAACTCAAGACTGAGGGAATATTCAGTATTGATGATAGCATGAATGCTGAAGTTACTGAGTTGACTTACTGTCAGCCCCTTGAGTTCCTTAGTACATGACTTGACATTGTTAAATGACCTGCTTATTTTGCTTTTAAGGGGAGAAAACATCTAAGTTGTAATGTCAGTTGATAGTTATGGAAGGATGTCTTGCAATCAGACTTCAAAGTATATGCTTGGACAACTATTTTTGGCTTTCACATCACTTGAAAATGACCTCTAATATATCATGATTTTTCTATGAGCATCCAGATCTATGATTTTTTTGCAATTTCAGGGTTTTAACTTAAGAAAAGAAATACATATTTTTTGCCTGACATAAGCGCTGCTTTTTGTTTCAGATATCTTGCATATTTTTTCATACTTGCCTAGGGATCTGAACTTCCTGGAGCACACAAGTAGTATTGGTTGGAAAGAGTGAGGATATGTAAATTATGTCATATAGAAAGATGTCCGGGTGACTAAGGCTTATCTGTGACTAACTCCGATTGGAATCTTGCAGGTACCAAAGAGCGAGACCTATAATTATAGATCCGGGATTATATCATTCGAAGAAATCTGGTGTTTTCTGGGCAAAGGAGAAAAGATCCTTGCCTGCTGCTTTCAAATTATTTATGGGTATTGCTTTTTTACATATGCTTTATTCATAAAATCATTTATCTCCAGTTTTTAAATTTCAGTTTCTGGATTACGTCTTCTAATTACTTTTCATGCCAATACTAAGAATGTTTCATATATTTTTCATTGCTTTCTATTTGAATAGATGGAATCATCTATCAAACCATTTTAAGTAAGAGAGCATTGAATGTCAGTGGTAGAACTAAATGAGATGGTAAAATATTTGGATTAAATAGGTGTTCTTCTTGTAAGGGAAATTAAAATACAGAGATGGGTAAGGATCCAGTCCAAAATGGTTTGTCTGAAAATTGATGAGTTAGCAGAAGATAGGTTCTAAGACCCACAATAGGTTATGTTGAATGAACAGAATTTCACTTTGAGGCTGGCTCATTCTCACAAGAGTTCACATTTCTTATTGTAAATTGACAGGCATGCAGAGGTAGATTCATAAATATTAAAGTTGGGTTCAAGGACCCACTTCTCTTGGAAAAATATAACGAAATTATATATTTATTAAACAATTGACTCTCATAAATTATTTGAATTGGACTGCAATAATTTTTTTATCTTTGAAACTTCTTTTTCTACAAATACGGTTATCCACTAATTATTATTACTATTTTACTCTAACCCGACTAATGATGCAATTGACTTTGACAAGCACAGTTCTTATTCTTAGTGTAATTGCCTTTGAAGGTGACATTGAGCTCACCCGTGGCTATAATAATATACAGCAAATATGTTCTTCAACAAAATGAGGAATGGTAGCATATATGGAGAAAAATATATTTGAGAATACTAGTTATGTTGCAATTTTATGTCTTATTTTCAAAATCTGGAAACTTGTCAAGAACTCTGAGAAAAATTTTCTTTTTCTCATCATATAAATATTCAATTTTTTTATTTGCATTACTTCCTCCTATATTTTTATAATTTCAGTATATATGGGAGACTTCATCTCACTATGGTGATTTAGGTTCATTGAACGGAAGTTGGCTTGAAAAAATCCTTAGGTTGAAATACAAAAGGATAGTATATATTATATGAACCTCACTTTTCTAGATCTTCTACTGCTGGCATGGGGGGAACTCTCTACATCAAACTTGTCAAATACAATTTAGCTCAGGGCATAAAATATAATTATATAACAAATGGAAAAATGTGCTGATCTTGAATATGCATTGGAGTTCTGTTTCTTTTGCACATTTTATGCATTTTCCATAACTTTAGTTGGCACATCAGACATGCTTTAGTTATATTTTACCTTTCATTTTAGAATGGCAAATTATCTTCTTTCAGGATCTGAATGGGTGATGCTGACAAGGTCTTTTCTTGAATTCTGTGTTTGGGGATGGGATAATCTCCCTCGCACTCTTCTTATGTATTATACAAATTTCCTGTCATCTCCAGAAGGTTACTTCCATACTGTTGTCTGCAACCATAAGGATTATCAAAACACTACTATTAACCATGACTTGCATTACATAAAATGGGACAATCCTCCAAAGCAACATCCCATATCTCTAGCTTTGGAGCATTTCAATGACATGGTTGAAAGCGGAGCCCCTTTTGCTCGTGAATTTGCTAAGGATGATCCTGTTCTTAACAAAATTGATGAAAAGCTCTTGATGAGATCTGATGGAGGGTTTACTCCAGGGGGTTGGTGTGCAGGCAATACTGTTTTAGGCAAAGATCCTTGTGTTGCCTATGGGAGTCCAGATGCTATCAAACCAACTCTAAGTTCTAAGAGACTAGAGAAGCTAATTTTGACACTTGTTGATTCTGAAAATTTTAGATCTAAACAGTGTAAATAAGTTTGTAAAACGTTTGATTGTGTATAGTCGATTTGTTATTCTGTTTTGTTGGTTATATCTCTACTAATGGTTGTTAAATTAGTTGCATGGTTTCTTCAAATATTTAATTATAATAGATTACTTGCAATGTCGCAGATGAACATTTGAACTATTCTAGATTGGACCAGCTTGTGTTAGTGTTAGTAAAAGTTCACTCATAGGCATATGATTGAACTAAGCTTGACCTTACTTCTTGAGGCTCGATTAGTAAATTAGACTGGTAAATTTTATTTTGATTTTTAGTTTTGTATATCTTTATATATAATGCGAATACAAATATTAATTATGTTTAAAAGTATAGGTTTGGTTTGGCTCACCAATAACAATAACTTGTTGGTTAGAGTATTATCACAAGGGTGAGAGCAATTTCGGTTTTCAAGAAATGCATTTGTTGTGATGGTAAAAAATAATTTTTACATTTTACTGTTCAAAGGAGAATATACCTTCTGGTTTTACTCTAGAAAAAAAAGGTCCAAATACGTAACTTAACTGCAGAATTTTGATGAAACAACCTCGTGGCATCATGGCTTTAAACTTAGATTTTTTGGTATTCTTAATTTTACTTTATTAATAATTTCATATCTGTTGCTCTATCAATGATAATTTTAAAAAAATTTTGATTTTTATATGAAATATGCTATTTCGATGTGTGATTTATACGGTTTAAAATAATTATTTTCATATCGTTTAATTATCCATTAAGTGTTTAATTAATGACCTAATTTTTACAAATTGATGTGTTTTTAAAGTAGTCAATAAATTAATATTCAATTATAAATTAAATTAATAATTAATTAATTAAATTAATAAAATTTTAATAATTTCAAATTTATAAATTAAAATATTTAATAAATTAAAATCAAATAAGAGTGCAACGAGCTTTTTCATAAAAAATACCTAAAAGAATTTATATGTTGAGCAAAAGAGGTTGGTTTGGCTCATTGCTTAACACTCCAATACATAAATTTAAAATTTGTTGGCAATGAGTCCTAACAATCATTGTAGTGGTCTCTAAAATCAAAGTAACAAAAAAAAAAAAAAAAATCATAAAAAAGAATCAAGTTTATATGAGAGTGATTTTCGTTTGTACTGCATCAGACTCATAAAAGGTTAGTCACAGTTAAAGTTCTTCACTTCTTCTTACAGATGCGTTTAGTGCAAATCAAACTTGATAGTACTTTCCACATGTCTAACATGCGTTGCCAATTGAGCTACAACCGGTAGATAGTTTTTTTTTTTCATCTTTAGTGCATAAGCAAATAAATTAAGCTATTTGAAATTTAATTGGTATAAAGTTGATTCAAAAATCCTTTTTTTATCTCATATAATAGATAAGTCATCTTAAGCTTAGGAAAACTTCACTCTTCTAAACTCATGAACCATTTATAAAAATCTTATTAAATTATTAAATTTACAAAGTTTCAAAAAAAAAAATTAAATTTTACTTATTTATCATATAAATTATGAAAAATGTAGATGTTATTATTTTTTTTTTTCAACACATGAATCATCTGATATATTTCTTAAATTGATTAAAAAATGTAACTTCAATTACACTTTGGTTCCACTAACTTTACATTAATTTGATAATACTGAACTCTATTTGGTTCGACTCATTTGTTTTTTTTTTAATCGGTTCGACTCATTTGTTAATTTGTGAATTTTAAAATATTCGAAATCTGATTGGGGTAGCTCTTTCAAAGTCCTACTGGTGATAACTTTGTTATGTCTTAGAAAGTTTCATAGAGATATAGCAAACACAAACCACATTATACACTTCTTCCATTCTATATTAAGTTTCCATTTAGCCAAAATAAAAAAATAAAAATATTACAGTTATAAATTATAATTATTTCAAAATACATCCTTATTGTCATATGAGTCAATGCAATTAATTTTTTTATATTTTTCCTGAAACGATATTTTAATAAAATATTAGCCCTATTAATAATTCGACATAATTTTCTCAATCTTAGTGAAAATTTCTATACCAGATACTCAATATGGAATGGAGAGAGTTAAAGTTGAAAATAGAAGAGGTTTTATACCTATATTTGATGAAATAAATAAATTGTAGCCTCAGACACTCAAGTTTGAAATTAGAGTTCATACTCTTAATAAAATGCTCCTTCTATTTTACTAAGATATATTTTACTAAAATTTCCTTTTGTAAATTGATAAAAAATTAATTGCATTAACTTATGAGTCATTTGTATTTGAAAATAGTTGTATAATGTTATTCTATTTTCACTTAAATTGAACTTTTTTTTTTAGATAAATGGACACTTAATATGGAATGGAGGGAGTAATGACCTTTAATTCAAATTTCACATTATAATAAAATGTTGATTTTAATAGTATTAATTAACTTAATTTGATATTTAATGTTAAAAATAATGATTAATAATATTTATAATTTTCTTTTCACTAGGAGGTGTAATGAATCGAAATAATAAGATATGCCACACAAAAGATATAGCCCTACTCTTAACTTATTAAATTAGTGAAAACTCTTATATGAAAAGCTTAACCAGACTATATGTGGTTGGCGGCATATTTATAAAAGTCTGCAATAATATATTAATGATATGTGTATCTTATGCATTATATATGTGTTACTTTCTCCATCTACTTGTCATTTTACTAAATTATCCATGGTTTTAAAATATCAAGAAATATTAATTAATTTTTTCAATTTTACTTTTGTTTTTACTTACCATGATTGCTATTTTCATCAATTTTCTAAAGCTCATCTTATTACCTTCTCGTTTCTTTCTCTTTCAAATTTTTTTTTGAGTATCGGGGAAGAAAGAATTTAAAATTAGATATATTACCAAGTCGTAATACACTTACTACTAAGTTAGCCCTTAGTATATTTCTCTTCCTCAAATATTGTTTTTCTTTTCTTTTTTTTTTTTTTTTTTTTAAAATTAGATATATTACCAAAGCTCGTAATCTTACACTTCACTACATAAGTTATAGCCCTTAGTATATTTTCTCTTCCTCCAGAATATTGTTCTTTCTTTTTTTTTTTTTTTTGTTTTTGAGTATTGAGGTAGTTCTTCGTCCCTCAATTTTTAATTGAAAAAGAAAAGATTAGATCAAATTAAGTACTTTTTGTTATAATTTTGGTGATTGTTCATTACTTCTTTAATCAGCCAGTTACAAAACTTACAGACAGGGAGAGTTTTTTTTTTTTTTTTTTTGTTTTTTTGAGTATTGGAGGAGTTCTCTCCCTCAATTTTTTAATGATAAAAGAAAAATTAATCAAATTAAGTACTTTTTGTTATAATTTATTTGGTGATTTCATTACTTCTTTAATCACCGTACAAAACTTTACAGACATAAAAAAATGGATAGAAAAAATATTTAACAAAATTAATTAGATGGAAGAAGCATGAAATTAAAGAACTTCTTAAGAGGTAATAATAAGTTTTGTTTTTTTGTTATATTTTTTGCATATCACTTGCAACAACTTTCAGTTAATGTACCTACTTTTACCCTCGGAGTCGTATTACTCTATTTTATTATTTATATATCAATAAATTTACTAAAACAATATCATGTATTATTTGTTATTTCATTTTCTATTTATTTTTTCAAAAATATGCATTGTGATAAATATTACCAAATTCAATATATTTGTAACTCAAACTTTGAAAATTTTGATTTATTTCATTTTGAAAAATTCTATCATTTAATTAATTCTTAGTTTTTACTTTTACTTATTACACCTATTATCGCTGCAACTGCTACAATGGAACGATTTTTCTTAACAATAAACTTTATTTAGACAAAATTGTATGATATAAATGTTTAATTATTTATATAGAAAGATGTATTTAATAGCGTTGACATATCATAGAATCCTTGACAATTTTTAGTGAAAACCTTAATTATACTAGGAGATAGTATAATAAATGCATGACAAAATTTGTTTGTAATAGCTTCTTTTTCGACAAAGTTTATGTTAATATAATTTATAATGTGCGAAGTTGCATAAATAAATTCTTTACATAAAATGGAGCGTCTATAGGTATTTATGATAAAAATGTCAAATTAGTATGTAATTAGAATAAATTATAAAATTCAAGGTATTACAAAAAAGTTGCTATTAGGTAATCACATCTTAAAAAAAAAAATCACATAATTAGATGGCTAATTACATTTTTTTTTCTGGGGCTTTAAGCTCGAAAATGACAAATTAAGAAAAGAAAAAACTCATGGTGTGCAAGTACAGAAAAATACTGAATTTGTTGCCATCTCTGAAATGCTGGAGAGTGAAACTACGCGCGTATAGAGACTGTGGGAGGAGATATATATGATCTGTATGTAAATATATATTCCCATGCAAAAAGTAGAGAGCGTGGGTTGGAGGGCGTAGGGAACAGACCGGACTTTCTTTTCTTAAATTAACATTTCTTGTCATTAACTTATTAATAATTTGAATTGGTAATTACCCATTTGAATATTTAATTAAACTTAATTAAGCCAACACACTACAGTTACAGTAGTATAAGCTGGTCAGCACACTTTCTCTCTCTCTCGCTCTCATACTAAGTAATTAAAACACTCATATACATATACACAAATACAATTAAGCCTTTTCTCCATGCAAGAGAGAGAAGAGGAGGCGACCCAATCTCTTTTCCCCACAAAGAATCATAAAGAAGCTTATGAGTTAAGAAACATCATCTTCTCTAAACCCTAAAAAGCAGTATTAAAAAAATACCAAGTTTAGAAGGAACAAAAACTGATTTGTAATAAACATAAATATATAAATATATATAAAGCTAAGGCCTCTCTTTTATTTTTCCTCTTCATTCCCACCTCCAATCTTTCTTGCTTTCTCCTTTCTCTCTCTCTCTCTCTCTCTCTCTGGATCTTTCTCTGCAAATACTAAAACTCCTCCTCTTGTTGATTTGATTCTCCACTTGTGTGTATTATCTCACAAAAATTAAGAACCACTCAATCAACCTTTACAAGAAAAAAGAAAAGAGAGAAAGCTATAGCTCAAGAATTGAACCATGGTTTTCTCTTCTATCCCAGCTTATCTTGATCCAGCCAACTGGCAACAAGTAAGGATTTCTTGAATTTTTTTTGGTCCTTAAGGTTTCTTTATTTCTTTGCCTAAAAAGCAAAAGATTGTTTCAAAAGATAAATATTCTTGTTACTTTTATTTCTTGTATCTTTATTTTGAATATACCAGATATTTGTTCTTCTTTCTATTTTACAGCAACCAAATAATCACCACCAGCCTGGCGGAACTAGTGGTGCAAACACTCATCAGCTTCCTCCACCTCCACCTCCACCACCACTTCCTCAACCTCATGGAAGCGGAGGTGCGGGCTCGATCCGACCTGGTTCAATGGCAGATCGAGCCCGTCTGGCTAACATACCTATGCCAGAGACAGCATTAAAATGCCCAAGATGTGAATCAACAAACACAAAATTTTGCTATTTCAACAACTACAGTCTTACGCAGCCTCGACACTTCTGCAAAACCTGTAGAAGGTACTGGACAAGAGGAGGTGCTCTAAGGAATGTCCCAGTTGGTGGTGGTTGTAGGAGAAACAAAAGAAGCAAAGGAAGCAACTCAAAATCTCCGGTCAGTGGTGATCGCCCAACGGGTTCTGGTTCCTCAAGTACCGTATCATCTAATAGTGGAACCAGTGATATGCTAGGCCTTGTACCACAGGTTCCACCGTTAAGGTTCATGGCTCCTCTTCATCATCTATCCGAATTTGCTACTGGAGATATCGGGTTAAACTATGGTGCCCTTTCAGGTCAAGTTGGAGGACCAAGTGACTTGAATTTTCAAATAGGGAGTGCTTTAGCTAGTGTTGGTCTTGGTGGTAGTGGTGGTGGTTGTGGAAGTGGCAGTGGCAGTGGCGTTGGTGGTTCACTTTTGTCAGTGGGTGGTCTAGAGCAGTGGAGGTTACATCAAGGGCCGCAATTTCCTTTCTTGGGTGGGTTAGATTCTTCTTCTTCTAATTCAGGGTTATACCCATTTGAAAGTAGTGGTGGTGGTGAACCATCTGGTTATGGTGGCGGGGTAGGTCAAGTCAGGCCAAAGATATCAAGTTCTTTAACAACCCAGTTCGCATCAGTGAAAATGGAAGATAATCCAGAATTGAATTTGTCAAGACAGCTTCTGGGTATGACAGGGAATGATCACTATTGGACTGGAACTGCATGGACAGATCTTTCTAGTTTTAGCTCTTCTTCTACTAGCAATCCATTATAAGTCTTTTGCCATGGAATGAAGCTCATGAAGCTAAGTTTTTTTTTTTTTTTTTTTTTTTCCTTTTTCTGAAGTAGGATCTTTTTTTTTTTTTTTTTTTTTTCCTCTCCTTTTTCTGAAGTAGGATCTCACTGTTTCTCAGCATCGATCTTCTTGTAATTCCATATCTCAAAGAACTTATAGTTCTTGTGTTTAAGTTATATGGAAGAGCTCAGAAGATGAATCAAGAAATTTGCTTCTCTAAAGACATATGAGCTAGAAAACCCTAGAATTATAGCTTTTGCATTTTATTTTTCCCCACCTTTGGTTTTTGATTTACTTCATTTCTTAGTGTACGTTTAGATATTGCAATGTAATGTTAGAATGTTTACCACAGTGATCAGTTTTCTGATGAATTTATATATGGAGTTCAATTAATTATCATTTCATGTGCTCATCAAGATTGAAATCTTTGGACTGAAAATTATATATTTTGCAGTAGTCTTCTATATACTTATTGAATCCCAAGTTTAATTAATTCTATAAATAGCGAAATTCTTGTTTAAATTTAATAATCCATGTTGTAAATGAATTTTCCTAGAAGGTCCAAATTATAAACTAATAATTCTTTTAATTTTCAAACTTTAATGCGATTCGCTATAATGCTATAAAATTTATATTCTCGGATAGGATAAGGTATATTGGGGAAAGCCTAATGGCTTGGGTGTAATTGAGTTTTTCATGAACATATGTTTATTTATATTTAATTCTCAAATAAAAATTCTTTTTTGCTGATAAAAAAAATGCTATAAAGTTTATTTCTGAAAAAAGTGAATTAGGAATGAGCTTTAACGATGTTCTTGTTTTTTTGTTATAGGATTAAGATTTTAAATTTATAACAGACACAGTTCAAAACTTTGGAATTATATAAGTATGATTTAAAGATATGGTGCTTTAAGAATTAAATGTCAAGAAAAAGACCAGTTTGATTATTCATATAAGAGCCTGATCAAGATGCAAAGTGTGATTTCGTCCTCTTTTGAAATTAGAATGCATAGAGTAGCGTTTGATCTATTGGTCAAAGCTTGAAAAAAATTTGAATTTAAAGCTCTTTTTGTTGGGTTTGGATACCATTTGAATGCTTTAACTGTCAAATTACTGATCCTACTTTAATTTTATATATAATATATATGGTATATAATATATATGGTTAGACAAGGCATAAGTTTATCTATATGTTCTTGCACACAACAACTTGTTTGAGCCTTATGAGCACATAAGCCTCTTCTTATGACCAATTAATCCAACTTCACAAGCTTTTAGATCACTGTGTCAGTATAGCTTATTGCATATGATTAATTTGTCTATGAATATTAGGTGTTAATTCTAATTAGGTCGGTCCATAAAAGAGAGAACTTTTTTTTCCTTGGTGAAAACCCTAATTCCGGCACCGATGATTATTTGCTTTCTCGTATACTAGGAGATAGTATAATTAATGCATGACAAATTTCGTTTATGATAGTTTCTTATTCGACAAATTTTAGGTTGATTTAGTTTATCACAAGGGAAGGTTGTGTAAATCAACTCTCCCTAGAATCCATAAATATGAAAAGTGATAATCAACTTGTGCTCTTAAACTTTGCAGTTAAAATACATTTAATTAGGTTATCAGTTTTTTGTTTTTGAATATTAAGAGAGGAGAGATTCAAATTTAAATTTATTATCAGATCGTACATATAACTAATAATGCTTTGGGTCAACAGTTAATTAATCGATGTAACTTAATTATGCATGATGCATCTTGTTATTATAAGTCATATATAGAAATAAATAGAGAATTCTTTAACAAAGCCCCGAAATATAAAAATAGCTTTTAATGTTAGTGCATGGTAGATTATAAATTAATTTCTTATAGTATTTATTTTATATATTATGCATTGCACAAACACAGACACACTCTCAATGAATTATTCACATGTCTAGTTGCCTCTTTCTTCTAGAAATATAAGAGATCCACCTTGAGTTTAGTGACTTCCAACTCTCCAAGGAAAAAAAAAAAAAAAAAAAATAGTATGGCCTCTTTCTTCTAGAAATATAATGAGATCCACCTTTGAGTTTAGTGACTTCAACTCTCCAAGGAAAAAAAAAAAAAAAAAAAAACCAATTCTTTTTACTATGCAGGTTGTTCGTACAATTTTATAAAATTTTTGTTATTTTGTATACATTATTATTAATTAAGTACTCAGTCCATGTTTGGTTGCATGAAAGAGATAATTTTTTTTATAAATTAATTAATTGCTAAACATATATGTGACCAAAAAAAAAAAAAAAAAAAAAACATTCATTGTTAGGTGAGACTGAGATTGCTGAATGATTTTGTAATATAATATGTAATGGTACTTTAGTTATGAGAAAAGAAAATGGTGATACACTAAAGACAGGAGGTCTCAAAAGACTCCAAATTCCCTTCTCAATTCAAAATAACTTGAAAATCCATAACATCATGAGGTTGTGATTTTTCCACAAACTGTATGTCTTAGAAAGAGAATAACAACTTTAAAGATTGCAAGGCTATATCGTGTGGTGAAAATATTAATTAATTGATTATCAACTATACATTTATTTTCTATGTTTTAATATGAAATTTATTTTTACATTATTATTATTCCAGCTACTAAAAATATAAAAATTATCTCCTCATTTAATATAGTCTTTTAATTTTATAAAGTTAAAAAATTAAAGAGTGTGAAGATAATTATAAGGAAAAATTAATTATTTTTTTGATATTTTTTTATAAAATATGCAGAAATTAATTAAACTGTAAACTAATTGGTATCACGACTTATTTTCTTATAGTTTTTAAATTAATAAAAAAAAAAAATTCAATTTAAAAAAACAAAGCAGAGAGGGAATGGAAAAAAGGCAGTCAAAAGATCATTCTTTCTCTTCTCCAACTACTGGATACGGGAAGGGAATAAAGTGCGAATTTCGAAATGTCTGACTCTGACCCCTTTCCTGTGAACTTGAACGACCAGTGAAGCGCGTTGGGCGCTTGTCACGACTGCCACTAGGGTGACAAAAGTACTGTTTTGTCAGTATGTGGACCTGAAAAATTGGCCTCTGGTTCCTTAGTGACTTAAATCTTTTTGAATTACACGCGCTTCAATGCTGTTCCTCGTTATCCTGCTAGTCTATCTATAAGGTTTTGATTGGTACAAATCCAGCGCACCGGTGCCCCAGCACTTCTCAAAAAAGTGGCACGGTTTCAAATTTAATCGGGTCGGACCCGAAATTGACACGTTGCAATTATCCAAAATAACCCTAAACATTGTTGGGAGGTGAAAACACATCAGTTAAAAACCTAGCTTTCCAGATCCAGCCGGTCATTCCATCCTTGAAGATAGAGGGGTAAAAAGGGTGGACCGGGGCATGAATGGTGTTTAAATTTTTATCAAACTTTATATGTGGTATTAAAATAGAATTGAAATAGTTAACCATCCCTTGAAGATAGAGGGTAAAAGGGTGGACCGGGGATGAATGGTGTAAATTTTATCAAAACTTTATATGTGTATTAAAATAAATTGAAATAGTAAAATTTATTAAAAATAAAATATTAGTATAATATTTAATTTTCAATACAATTGAAAATAAATATTATACTATATATTTTAAACAAAACAAATAGTAAAAATATTTTAAATGATGAAAATTATTTCTATACTAATAATATTAGAGTGATTTTACTTCTAAAAGAAATATTAGTATGATTAATAATGAAATTCGATAATAACTTAAAATAACTAGTGGCCATCCGCAGAAAAAGAAAGGAGCGTGGTTTACTATAACTTAAACCTTATTTGTGAAGTATTAATTCGATAATAAAATGCTATATTTTTAGGACATGTAAAAATTTTTAAATTTAAGTCATGAAATTAATTGGTATTGGATATTTTTTGAATTAAATAATCATGAAAATAACTAGTGTTAGATTAATAATGAAACACAATGAAAAATTTGATATATTAGTAACTATATTAATATTATAATTTAATTTAAATAAATAACAATAATTATAATATTATATATTTTTAAAAATATATTAATGTGATATTGTTATTTTCATTTTTATTTTTGAATTTAAAGGGTTGAAAAGCATGTGGTATCTATAGAGGTGGCAATTTAGTTGAATCATGTCATTAATTTTTATGTAAACTTTCTATGTAAATGCATAAAACAAATGAAATTGAAAGACTACTTATTTATTCATCAGTAGGTGAAACAAGCCAAAAGAATATTATAAACCGTACAATATGAGTAATTATTTTCTATGAGTAATCATTTTCTTTACGTACTGAATTAATAAAAACTCTTACGATAAAAAAGTATCTAATTTGAAATTTCTCAATCACCATATAAGTAAAAAGATTTACTAGACTAAACCTGATTGCTGAAAAGTAAATTGTTTCTAAAACTTACGGGGAATGAAAAAGATTATTGCGTCATTTCAATTGATAATTACTGAACACTATTTTTAACATAAAATGGAGTATTACTATTATTTTTATTAGATTCGATCAACGAATGTTATTTGTATATCAAGATCATGGAGGGTTATTTCTGAAAATAACTATGAACCCCACGAATATATGACCGTGGACCGTGATTAAATTTTAGCGCCGATTTTTATTTTTTATTTTTTATTTTTTATTTTTTTATTAGATTCCATCAACGAATTTAACCCGGATGATCCAATGGTAAATATAAACCATTCGGTGGTGCACCCAGTGGGCAGCTATTCTATATCATGCTTGATTCTGTTTACGTGACGTTTACTCTTTTTTTATTTATATTCTGGTGCTAACTGTATATTTCTGACTGACTGTTTAACTGTGCTTTGGATAGTACTGCTGACTGACTGCTGAGTCTTAACGGAAAGACTTGATTTGGACACTATTCCATTTCATTTTTACTTAGAAAGCGGATTCGAATCCAACAATTAACGTTATGTGGGGGAGCTTTCGTTCAATTGATGTATGTTCAACGTCCGTGTAATAATTACGCCGATACACAATTTAATGATAAATATATATACAGTTTGATAATAA